GGAACTAAACACTGGTGAATGGTCAGCAAGTTAGAGAATAGACTGACAAGATTGTGGGTAATTGTGGGCAGTGACTTTTTTTTAATGAAAGCATTTCATGCTGATACCACAACAAAATAATGTACATCTAATGTGCACAAAAATTTTATGGAAAATTTCTATTATCTTTCCCACAAACTTTTTGAAGCACCCTCATATTAATGAATACAAATCAGGAATTCAAAAGATACTTTATTGTTTTAAGTAATACCAGAAACTTCCTGTACTTAGCTTTTTATTTAACTCTAAACAAAAAATGGTACTACTATCTAAGAAATGGTAGCAACCAACCTTTGGTATTAGTGTAGATGAAGTTCTTTTGGTAGATGTCCACAAATAGTTTCTTCTATCTCTGGATTTGCGATGATCAGATGATATGAAATTTCTAGATACATTTTGTGAAGGAATAACTTTAGAGTCAAATTTCTCATGGCTCATTTCGGGCATTTCCAATAAAGATGTCTGTGTTTTCTGTATTGCACAACAAAAGTGAAGGAAACCATCACCAAATGCTATTCTAATTATTTTTTTAAATTACAGTATATCAACTAGTAGAAATAGCACTAAAGCAAACTAGATTTTACCAAAAAAATTACTATTAATTGAATAAGATTGAATAAATTACAATTATCCCATTTGTCACTTTACTTTTTCTTAAGGCCATAAGATGAAAATGGTTATCTACTTTTCACCGAGTTGCTGTGAAAACTGCGATATGTCAGCTCTTGATATAACTAAAAACTGAGGGTTCTCTAAAGAAAAATCTCTATTCCTACACTGGCAGCTTAAGTCCTACAAACAAGATGACAACGTATTCTCATTTTACTTCATCCTCTCACATACATTCATAATTCACTCAATTATAAAATATCAACATTCCTTTGTCTACCAGTTTCATTCCTATTCCCTCCTCTTCATCTCAAGAGGGGTGAGGGGAAAATATGAGTGTAAAGAATTAGAGAAACTTTCGGGAAAATTTGAAAAAGATATTCGCTTCAATTCTGAAAGTAAGCAAATTTAAATTTTTCACTCAAGACATTTAGATATTATTTAAACTCCTTAAG